GGCTCTCAAACTGGGGTTCACAGCCTTGCAGCGGGGCGGTGGCTTCAGGCTGAGGCCTCCCTGCCCCTGCAGCTTGGAGCCTGCACTGGTGCTCCAAACTTGCGGTCCCTTTCACTCCCATCTCCGTAAGGTTGGAGCACCGGTGCCGGCTTCCTGCTGTGCGGGGACCTCTGAGCTTCATGGGCCAGCTCCCAGGGGGGGCAGGTGCCTCCCCCTCCTGCCACTCCCCCTCTCCTCAGCTAGGGAAAAGGTAGCAAGGAAACTGCTTTCCTGAAGGCTTTCCCCACTGCTCCCATTGGCTGGAATTGTGGCCAATGGGAACAGCGGGAGGCAGTGCCTGGGACGCGTGGGAGGTGTGGAGCCAGGTAAGTGTGCCCCCCCCATCCCTTTCATGCCTAGACCTTGCATCCCCATCCCCCTCATAGATTCCCCTCCCCTCCCACCAAGACCCCACACCCCCAGCCCGCTGCTGCATCCTGCCTCTCATGCCCCTCCCCACCCTCAGCCTACTCCTATACCCTCCCTCCTGGCCAAACCCCTCATCTGCAGCCCATTTCTGCACTCTCCCTCCCTCACAGACCCTCCCCCTCCAGCCTGCACACTCCCAGACAGATCTCGCACCCTGAACCCCTCCTGCACTTAAACTCCTGGCCAGATCCCCACTTTCAGCCTGCTCCAGCACCCGGCCACTCCCCCAGACCCGTCACTCTCACATCCTCTTGCACCCCGTCTCTATCCCCCTCCCTGGCATCACCCTCCTGCACACTGAACCCCTCTTTTGGCCCCACCCCAGAGCCTTGAGGGGCTCACAAAATCTACTAACCCTGGGACTCCAGAAGAGTTAAACTGGCCTGTAGGAAGCCCTGAACATTGGTCCTTCCTGTCCCCCCACCCCTCCCAGAGTGGAAAGGAGCTCCAGGAGAGTGAGGTGTGTCAGTTGGGGGCCACATCAGTGAGGGTTGGTACACTTACATGATAAAGTTAAAGCGCTTAATCTGTTAAATTACCGTGATTAATATTTCCTTTCTTACTGGTTATAAACGCCCCCTTACGTTGTTAAACAAACATAATTGTATTTAAGTGTTTATGCTCCAGTAGCCTAATATGAATAATTTGGTATTTCAGGTATGTAGAGATAGGCAAAGGCATTTTGTTGTCATGGGTGGATGGCTGTGGTCCATGGAAAGGTTTGCATTGAGTGTGGTGGGCTGTGGCCCAAAAAGTTTGAGAACCGCTGCTCTGGGTTTTAGAGTGTGGTCAGAAATCTGTTTTGTATTGTTAACATGATTGTAACCTTAACTATAATATAGTAGAGTTTATTGTGAACCCTAGTAATGTTACATCTATAACAGGGATAGCTTCAGGGCAATGTATAGTAACTAAACAATAGAAAAGTAGAACATCCAGCTGTGAAAAATCAATTTATACAGGCTATCTGGTGTCAGCAAGACTGTCCACAGTATTTCATAGGTGAGAATTGGTACCTGCTAGAATAAATGTCCCACTGTCTGTGAGTTTTTGTGTTCTTGTTTTTTCTCTGCTTTACTATGACTGGCAACAAAAAGGGACAATGTCAGGTACATTTTGATCTGAATGGCAAGTTTTTAAAAATTAATTCCAATAGTGATGTTCCCAAGAATTTAAAATATATTTACTGGAAACTATGTGTAAATCAAAAGGCATGTTTACACTGCAATTGAACACCCAGACTGGCCAGTGGCAGCTGACTTGGGCTTTGGCTGGTGCCTGGACTCCAGGATCACAATAAAACAGTCCCCTCGTTCAAGCCCCATGTGCCTGAGTCAGCTGAAATGGGTCAGCCATGGCTGTTAAATTGCAGTGTAGACATACCCAAATAGTCTCAGGCATAATCCAAACAATGCATTAGTGCAATGGTGCAAGCTGCCAACAATGAAACTGACTGGTCTTTTTTTTTTTTTTTTAAATTGTCCAGTCTGTGAGAAGTCCTTGAAAAATTAATTATGTTTTAAAAATTCTGAACAGCTAAATGTGTTATTTAGTGGCTTAAGTGAGAATGATTTTTAGTAAAAATGTGTGGAGTTTTTTTAATGCAACATTTATCTCTTCTAGGTTTAGCAGAATGCTTCCTTTTAAAAGTTTATCAAATAAATATTCCCAGCAAAATATATTCCATGTGACATTGAGGATGATTTTTGATCCGTTGATTTTGTTTCTTATGTGGCTTTGACTGTACCCCGCTTGCCAGAGAAACGAGATGGCTTATTTTATTTAACATGTTTGAAATCAAGTAGTGACTTCCTTTCCACTTGCTGAATGCGGATATGGCACTTGACCTGCAGAAGTCTGCTCCAAGTGCTCAAGACTGTTTTGCTTATCCAGCAAGTAGCCCCCTCTTATTTCTTTTGGCTCTGTTGTCCTAACATGGAAGAACCCTTCTACATTTTCCTTTTGGATAAGGGAGCAGGTGAAATGCTCTCTGTCTAGTTATAATGGATGCTGTTCTCTGGCCTGCCCATTGAGAAACACTTGTTCAGCAGCTATGGTGGGATGGAGGGTTAGCACTTGATGTTGAATTTAAGTCTCCACTTGCAAGGGCCAGCTCCATTAAACACCCATAGGCATTGTCTTCTGAATAATGATGCCTGTGGCATTGTTTCCTAGGACAAAGCTGACTTTGATGAAAGGATTTCTCGCTTCAAAACTTACCTGGAGACGAAAGGGGCTGCACTCAGTCAGACCACAGAATTCCTCCCTTTTTATGCTTTGCCTTTTGTTCCCAACCCCATGGTCCACCCATCATTTAAAGAACTCTTTCAGGTAAATATTTATTTTGCACAGATTTGTGTTAATTATTTTTCTCACAGGGTTGATGTGAATACTGTTTTGTCCAGTAATGCTTTTAAGTTTTTTCTTTTATAGACATGGCAAATCACTAAAAGGGTATTTGTGATGAGATAAAGCCTAAAAGCTGGGCCGATAAAGCTGGGCCGATGGGAGAGAACTCTCCTATCGGCATAATAAAACCACCTCAATGAGCACTGGTAGCAGTGTTGGAAGGAGATACTCTCCCACCAAGGTAGTGCTGTGAAAACTACCACTTATGCTGGTGAAACTTATGTTGCCAGTGGTATGTGTTTTCATACCCCTGAGCAATATAAGTGGTGGTGTAGACATTGCCTATGTGTAAAGAGTCTGTTGGAAATACACAAAGGCTGTGTCTACATTGGCACCCTTTTCCGGAAAAGGGATGCTAATGAGACAAGTCGGAATCGCAAATGCCGTGGGGGATTTAAATATCCCCCTGTGGCATTTGCATGAACATGGCTGCCGCTTTTTTCCGGCTCGGGGCTTTGCCGGAGAAAAGCGCCAGTCTAGATGGGATCTTTCGGAAAATAAAGCCTTTTCCGGAAGATCCCTTATTCCTGATTTTAAGAGGACAAAGTCAAATGCATTGTCAGCTGGATATCTTTGTTTGAAGTGGGTTTAATCTTTAATCTTAGTTTGGAGCTTTTATAGCAATTCTCCCATTGACTTACTAGTGTGTGGGGGGAATGGGGGAATGGTCTCTATGTAAATCCACTTCCAGGTACCTGCCCAGCCTGATAGTTCAATGTCTAGATGAAACTAGTGGTGCTGACTTGGCCCTTGGGCAGACTGCATGCATTTGGTACCTGGCTATCTTCTGGTAAGGAACATCTTACCACATCCTTAGGAACTTGCTGCAAATAATGAGAAAAGGCCAAGGGTTGCTTGGTTTCAGAGAATGGGATCTGATTGGATCTCTGAATTGTGGTCAGCAGCCTTTTTACATGCTATTCTAGGAGAAACATTTAATTTATCCTCAGGATCTCACTGTCCAAGATCTTAATCCTTAGTCACTCACCGTTTCGGTGGAATGCTACAATTCACATGCCTCCTTGAGGCAAGTCCGTTGTTCAGTTCCAAAGTTAAGAGAAGGGGGGAAAGAAGTCACTAACTTACTCAGCAGTCTTGTTAATAAGAGACCAGATTTCAACAGAATCTTCATGTCCTGGAAAAGGACTAGAGGTTTTTTTCAAACATACAAGATAGAGATGACATGTAACTGTTGCAATTGGGGGGGACGAGAATGCCTCTTGTATTACCTCTAGGTGCAAGAACCTTCCAACCTCACGTTCCTAGGCCAGGGCAGCCAATCGCACTGGCTCTTGGAAGCTGAGGCTGCAAGAGTGGGGGAGGCATGTGCTGCTGGGCCAGCTCAGCTCCTGGGTGGGGGAGATTCACAGCAACAAAGTTTCTCTTCATAGCTCCCACACCTTCCTGGACACTAACTCTGGCTGAGCTCAGGGAACCTGCTTCCCCAGCAAGCCCTCCTCCCTCACGCCTGGCCCAAGGCTGCCATTTTCTCTTTACCCCACCAAGGTTATCTGCATGGGGACCCCTGCCACAGTTTCCCCAGTGGGGCTCTCACATGTTGCACAGAAGCAGTGCAGCCACCCTCACTTGGTAGAAGAAATGACCCTCCAACCCCTGATCGGAGCACTCAGCTCACCAATAGCCTGGCCAGCAGGCTCCTTCCTTCCCCCACTGCCTTTGGCAGCACCAGTGTCCAAGGAAAGCCCCAAGACCCTCTGGTCTGGGGCACTGTGTGAGAGCCAAGCCCTGCACTGTCCTGGCACAGGGAAGCCTCTGTCCCCCTCAGCTAAGCTGTGGAGTAGGGGGAGTGATTTCCAGCCTGTTCACACCCTGAACCTGCAGACTCCACAGTAGCCCCAGGGATAGAGGCTTAGCATTCTCTTTACACACACCCACAGGCCTGGGTGCTGCTCTGAATCCCAGCCCTTCTCTGCTGAGCCACCTCTGTGGCCAAGTTCGCTGGAGCTCCTGCAGTCAGGTTCCCTGGGCCCTGCTGGACAGTGCATCCTTAGGGCTTAACCCCTTTCTGTTAAGGGACAGGAGGTGGCTGGGTTATCTTGGTGGCCGGACAGTGCATCCTTAGGGCTTAACCCCTTTCTGTTAAGGGACAGGAGGTGGCTGGGTTATCTTGGTGGCCAGTAGCAGCCTGGATATGTTAGCTGCCTTTTGATGCTGTGTGTGCAGGAAGGGACAAGCTGCTTCCAGCCCCACTGGAGTGGTGGCGGCAGTGGGGAGGAGGGGTCGGTTGTGCCAGGTATCAGGAGAGGAGGTCTGTCCTAGGAGCCCAGCCAGGCATGGAGGGCAGAGAGCGCCCGGCAGAAAGGATTTGGTCACTCAAACACCCCCATCTCCATGTAAAAGAGGTGTATGGGAATATGTGTGTGACACCCCCTCCTCATTTGAACCCTAAAGACTTAAAGATAAGGTAAATACAACTATGTAGTATGCTATCTTGTCAGAAACCAGTTCTACTAGCCAGATACACAGAGAAACATTGGAATTAGAGTTCATCCGCAAATTCAGTTCACGTGCTAATGGACTCAATCGTGATGAAGGGTGGTGGGACACTATCAATTTAACACTCGTTGAAGGTACAAACAACTCTTTGTGTAGACTCCTATGTCAGGAAGGGTACTATCAGTTGACTTTGATTCTTTTCTGCTTCTTTTTAACTGCTTAATCTTCAGGTACTTACTGATTCCCTCTAGCTCTCTGTTTCCCACCCTCCTCCTTTTTTTTCTCTCTCTCCCCCCACCCTTCCGTCTCCTATTTATTTTGGGTCTGCACATCCTAAACTCAAAACACCAGTCATCTGAAGAAGTGGGCGGTGCCCACGAAAGCTCTTGATACCAGCTACATGTTTTGTTAGTCTATAAAGTGTTACCAGGCCATTTGTTGTTAATTTGAAAGTTTGTGCGACTGATTGCCATTGAGCTCACTTGAATATGAGTAATTTTACCAGGTGTCCTATATTCAGCACAGGGAATATGGTCACTGTGCATCTGTCAGATAGCTACAATGGGTGATTCATGAATTAGTCCACTTTTCTTACAGGTTCTTGGAATCCAGTCTCTGAAAGAAATGTTGCATTCTGATTCACTGATGTAATCCCATGACCCTTGGTAGTCTAATGACAAAACATTGACTTAAATTTGACACACAGTCAACTATGAAAAATGAATACAATGATTTCTGTAGCTTTGTTTATTAAAGCTGAAGAATTAGCAAGGGTTTATTATTATGTTCCATTACAAATAAATGAACTTCTCTTATTTGCCTTTTTTTTTTTTGCTTGATTTGTTTGCATTTGTGCAACTTAATGCCTCGTTTTCCATTCACATTCAGTAAGCTTCTCTTGGGTAACTATTTTAACATTGAAATAAAATATTATATAATTTATTCAGGATTTTAAAAAAACTGCATATGAAACATCTAGGGTTATTGTTGAATTCTTGCATGCTTATGAACCACTCATCAAGCAAATTAGCTTTCATACGTCAGAAACCAACTTTTCACTGCCATGCTGGCTGTGTTGCTTGCTTCTGGATGTTGCTATGACTCCAATTATAATGTTTTTTTGTTGTTTCTTTTTTCTTTTTAAGGATTCTTGGACGCCAGAGTTAAAGACCAGGTTGGAAAAGTTCCTGTCTCTGACTTTGAAAGCCAGTCATGCCCCAAGACTTCTCACTTTATATGTATCCTTTTGAAAAATGTTTTAAAGATCATAAGATCATCCTTTTTATAGAAAGTGTATAGAAGCGGCATGCTGCTTGTATGCCCTGAAATCATCATACCGTTACTGAGTTGTGTTACTAACTCTAGGAAATGTTGACATACCACATTTAGAAAAGTCGTTTTAAAGAAAGTTACACTAAATGTTAGGACAGCAGTCTAAATATTTGGTACCTACTGACCTGCTTGCTTACCAGATCACCATTATTTAGTGTAATGGGTTAGTATATCATTGCCCGAGGCACAATTTTGACATGACTCCTCTCTGGGCAGCCAATAAATCCTCAGTCTTTCTCAGAAGCTCACTTCAGTGGAATTTTTTCAAAGCTTTCAGGAGTCCCGGAGATGATCATTTTACTAAACAAATTATGCTGCATGTTTTGTTTTGTTAGAAAAATCATCATCTTTTCCTCTATCAATGTTATTTGAGCTGCAGTGGGAGGCCTAATCTGCATAGTGATAGAAATGTAGCCGTGTTAGTCTGGTGTAGCTGAAACAAAATACAGGACTATGTAGCACTTTAAAGACTAACAAGATGGTTTATTAGATTATGAGCTTTCGTGGGCCAGACCCACTTCCTCAGATCAAATAGTGGAAGAAAATAGTCACAACCAGGGAGGAAGGAAGGTAAGTGTCTGTGAATTGCTGATATTAAAGGTAGGGAGAGTGGGATGTTTGTGAGTTAATGGTATTACAGGTGATAATTGGGGAAACTGTCTTGGTAATGGGTGAGAAAGTTCAAAGACTTGTTAAGTCCTTGTTGGTAAGTGTCGAATTTTAACATGAATGACAGTTCAGAGGATTCCCTTTCAAGTGCAGATGTAAAAGGTCTTTGTAGCAGAATGCAGGTGGTCAAGTCATTGAGAGAGTGTCCTTTCTGGTTAAAATGGCAAGAAACTGTTTTTTCTTTGTGATCTTGTCTGATATCTGTTTTGTGGGCATTAATCCTTTGGCGAAGTGTCTGAGATGTTTGTCCAATGTACATAGCAGACGGACACTTTCGGCACATGATAGCATAAATTATATTTCTGGATGCGCAGGAATATGTGTTCTTGATCTTATAGCTCACTTGGTTAGGTCCAATAATGGTGTCAGCAGAGTGAATATGTGGACAAAGCTGGCAGCGGGGTTTGTTGCAAGGGAAAGTATCAGGGTTGGTATTAGTGTGGTATGTCCTGTGGTTGTTGGTAAGAATCATCTTGAGGTTAGGTGGTTGTCTATAGGAGACTATGGGTCTGTCTCCCAGAGCTTCTTGGAGTTTAGTGTCCTGTTCCAGTATAGGCTGTAATCTATTGATAATGTGTTGGACAGGTTTAAGTTGGGAGCTGTAGGTGATGACAAGTGGTGTTCTATTGTTGGTTTTCTTGGGTCTGTCTTGTAGTAATCTGCATAGTAACAGAGGCATCAAAAGACTGCCCTGTTTTTCCTCAGCTCAGTTCACTCAGGGCTAGATTGGTACCTCACAGATTTCTGTAAGGGACAGCACTTAGTTGTGTATCCCCGGGAACAAAACATGGACCGAATTGTGATGCTACAAAGTCCTAACATCGCAGCAAACATGAACTATACCATCCCTTTTCCTAATGCAGCTTCCTTTCCCCCAATACATCACTGCGGTTCTGCTGGCCCTTGTAGCGGGGAAATGGAGCGTGTGTTCTTTTATGCTTTTTCACTTGTTACCTGCTGGCTGGCTAGGAAGCTGTGATCTGCGGTGGTTGCTCTCTTTCCCATGTTATGTCTCTTCATGAGGCAAGCCAACACTGAGGAGTAAGTGGGCATCTTATGCCTCCTTATTCCTCTGTGTGGGTGCATAGGCTGACTCATGACTGAACCCTAAAAGTTTCTTTAATAGCAAACATTTCTTTCTATAAACCAGTTGTACAGATTTGTCATTAATTTAATATTTGGTGCAGTTTTGAGCCCTTTCTTGGTGTCTGCACTTCATCGGGGCTACCAAAGCTCACGAGGAATAAAAAAAGAGGCTCACGTGTTTCTGTGCAACATTGCATATCAGGTTAGATGCTTTGTGAGTTTTCCTTTTTCCTGTGAAGCATCAGCCAGTGTTGCCAGAAGCAGTGTACATACCGAACTAGATAGGCTCTGCCATGGTGATACAGTCCATTGGTCTGTGTCCCTAGGCTGAACATCCCATTAATGAAGAGATGTTTTCCTGAATTGCTCTCCCTCGCCTACAACAGAAGGAGAATGGACAATGCAGCAAAGGTAAATGTCTGTGGGTGTTTCCCAGACTTGCAACAGGTTTCAGTAACAAACATGTATCAGAATTTCATAATGATACATTTTGATAGAATAATGATGTTTAACAGGTTATAACTTTCCAAATGATATATACCAGCAGTGAATATGGATGTTTCAGGAGGAGGCAGGAGTCAGTGCCCGTGGGGAGCTGGCTTTTAAGCTCCCCATAAGCATCAGATACGCCTGCCTCCCCCCACCCTATGCTGCAGCCTCTGATAGAGAGGCAGCAGTGTGGTGGGTGAGGGAAGTAGGTGGGAGCCAGTTTTTAGGCCGGCTCCCCTGTATGCCACCTTCGCAGACCCGCCTGGCCTCCCCTTGCTGCCTCCTACAGAGACAGGGTGGGGGCAGGCAGCTCCATGAAGCCGGTGCTTGGGGGGGAGCTGATTCCGTGTATCCACCTCCCGCTCCCCATTGCGCTGCTGCTTCTCTGAGGCAGCAGCATAGGGTGAGGTGACAGAGGAGGCTGCTTCCTGGCAGCAGCTGCTGTTTGCAGGGGATCTGAGCTCCCTGCAGATAGAGTCTGAGACAGCATCCCATGGAGCAGCCTCTGTGGTGAGCCTGGGCCTGCTGCAGACAGAGGCTGCTTTGCGGCAGTAGAGCAGACAGAAGCTGCTCCTTGGGATGCTGGTACAGCCTCTGTCAGCAGAGAGCTTGGCCCCGCCCTGGACAGGGGCTGCTGCAGCCTCTGGATCGGAGGCTGCAGCACTGGGTGGCAGGTGGGAGCTGGGCTTTGTGGGGAGCCAGTTTTTAAACCAGCTCCCCATTTGGACCAGCGCCTGCCTGCCACCCTGCACTGCTGCCTCTGACACAGTGCAGAGTGTCAGGGGGCTCCCCAGGAGTGGGACCAGGAGCGCACTGGCTGCTGGGCCCATCCCTGGGGACTATCAAATAGTCATGTAACCACTAAAATGTGGTGTGGTTGCATGACTATTCAATTACACGTGTCTAACATCCCTAGTAGGGATGTAAAATTTCCATTATTTGGCTAATTGAATAGTCAATGCAATTTCGATTAGTCGGATAAGGGCGCTTCTGCCTTTGAAGTGCAGCAACGGCCCCCCGGCTGTTCCTACACTTCAAAGCTAAACGCGCTGTGAGGAGCATGGGGCCAGTGGGGGACTCGAGCAGTCCTTGCTGGGCCCGTATTCCCTGCAACGTTTCAAAGCGGCAGTGCCGCATAGAGCCCGGGGCCTGTGGGGGAGTCCCCAGATGACCCCGGGCTCCACGCAGCACTGCCGCTCTGAAGCACCCCCTCCTCTTTCCCCCTCCCTTACTGCTTCTTTCCATTAGAGGCAGTAACCGGGAGGTATCAGGGTGGGGGAGGAAGTGACCAGTCGACTATTTGTTCCCATTTCTAATCCCTAGTTTCTTTCACTCTGAGGCTTTATTTATTGTACTATGCTAATTTGGTTTATTAGAGAAATTACTGCTTTCTGAAATATGAATTTGTTTTCTGGATTTTGACTGAGTCTTCTGGGGTTTTGGGCCTTAATATGTAGCTTTGTTTTATTCCTTAGAATTTAGGCCAGTTTTAAGACTAAAAAGAACTTTGTCCTGTGATTCCCGGCTCTCCTGCACAAGTCTCAGTGAGATCCATAGGCTCGCTGTTGGAGACACGAGTGAATGTTTGCTTTATCAATGAAGTAGAAATGCAAACAAAATTAATACGGAACACGTGAATGAAATGTAGCATAGCAAAGAGTTCTGAGCACAGTCTTTTGTAAATAGTTGCCTGTCATTAGTCTCTGACATATTGAAGTACTTGAGGGTAGACGAGTTGGTGCAGATGCTCTGGAGGATGCACTTGAGAGTTTCGAGTGTTCACCTTTTCTGATTAATCTGCTAGATACTCTGGCTCCTCACCTGTTTTGTCTCTTCAATCATACAGGTAAAAAAAAAAAAATTTGGGTGGCAGTCGTGCTCACCTGACAACTTCCCCTTTAGGTTTATTTATTTGATTAGGTAGATTAGAGGAATTACAAAATTTTGGTGCTGTACAAGCAAAGCCCCAAGCATAGGGCACTGACTCCAGAGGTGCTTTGCAAAAAAAAAAAAAAGTGGCACCCACCAGCCACAGCTGTTAGGTGGCACCCCATGTCAGCTAATCAGAAGTGCTGCCAACCAGCTGTTCAATGATGCTTCCAAACAGCTGATTGGTGACTTGGGGGAGGGTGAAGAGCAGTGGAATGCACAGGGTGCAAAAACCCAGTGAACCCTCTGCTTTTGAAACCATTTTTTTGAGGAAGGGCCATTGATGGTAAGTGAAGAACTCTAGGCTTAACAGCGGAGGGAGGGCAGTGCTTCTTCTGTGTGGAAAGTGTCCTTAAATGCGGAGATGCTTAAATACATTTCATGGGATGTATCGGCATTTGGGTGTGTAGTTCTTCCTGCCATCCATTGTTGCAAGATTTATTCTCCTCACTGAAAATGTTCCCCATCAGACTTACAAAACTAGTACATACCCAGAGTGCATTGCTCCTGTTGTCAATGGGGAAGCTGAAGATGTGGACACAATCTGTGAACAGAGGGAGCAAATGTAAACATGCTTTGGTGATGTTTGCATGCTGACATGAGTTTTCTCAACAAAACTCAGTATTGTGACATAGCCTTCCTCTGCTTCCCTTTATTGCTTTTGTCAGTTTGTGGTCCTGTCCAGTATACCATACAATTTCAAATTCCCATCTTGTGTGTATGTTTACACCATTATTGGTAGCCTGTAACATGATTGCTGTTGTTCATTGAAAGCAAGGATCTAGGGATTAGACTTGAACTCTGAAGCTTAAAGCAACGTTGTTTAGTTTGCATTGGGGTTCTGTTTACTCCAGAAGTGATGGAATGTGAAAGAACAGGAATGTAACCCATTAATGTACCTTATTGTCCCTTTTGATGTAGCAAACACAGTATAGCTGGTCCCTGACTTACAAATGACTTACGTACCAAACACTAGGTCATAACTCGATCTGTTCATAAGTTGGATTACATTCACTTACATATGGCCGTGCTGCTCGCAAGTGCAGATTTTCGTTCCTAAGTCAGGGACCGGCTTAATGGGAGGTTGGTTGTAAGTACGAACGGTCGTAAGTCGATGTGTTCGTAACTTGGAGACTGGCTGTACATTACTGTGCTAAATATAAGCTAATTTTAAGGGGAAATTATTTTAATTGACAATGTAAGGAAATTCTTTGCTTTTGTTTCATTTAAATTAAATTATTTTTCTTCTGCATAATACAACTTTGAAACTTTACTAAGTCAGCGTTTACTTGGAAACTTTTGAAAGAACAGCATGTTTAGAATTTTAAATATTTCGGAGTTCCAATCAATCTCCACTCTTGCAGTGTTTGCAAGTAATGAGATTATACTGTAATTGCAAATTCTGCTTATTACCACGTCTGTTAGATGGGAGAATCATCTTCCAAAATACATGATGAAATCATGTCCTCCTGCCCCTTTCCAAGAGACTTCTAAGGCTGAAGATGCCCAGAATTCCTGGGGAATTTGTAAAAGTCCATGAATATTATGATGTAGAAGGATGGTTAGATATTAGTGAGGTAAGAGTTTAACTGGTTATATGACAAGCTGATGCTGGGAGCTGCCCCCCGCCCCTCCCCCGGGCCGGGGCAGCCCCACAGTTAACCATGTCACCTATATAATTTGTATTGGTTACATGGTTTCTATTTTTATAAATTTTTACATTCTTACTAGATATCGTAAGAGGACTTTTAAAGTTGTCTTTATAATTATTTTTTTTTCTTCAAGTCCCATAATTTAGCGCAGAAAAAGAGCATTGCACGGTTACATTTACAAAAATCATCCTCCCAAATTTTACTATAGGAAGGGCTTAGTTTAATAATGTTACCGCAGAAGTACCAGAAGGGCTCTCCATGAGTTAGTGATTATGTGTCCTCCTTCATCTCTTGCTGGTTTGTGTTTGAAGTGACAGCTCCAACTTGAAAATATCCTTTCTGTTCGAACAGGTTTTATCTCTTCTTGTTCCAAGTAACTTGAACTAGAAATTGTAGATAACAATGGGTCACCTCCTGCGGATTAATCTGTATTTTGAGTCTGCCTCTGCTCTCACTTCTTAAACTCTGGTGCATGGACCAGATGCTGGCTAGATGCAAGGGGCTATGGTAGGTGAGGATTGCTTAGCTGGAGAATGGAATTGGGGAGCTCAGTATGCTGATGCAGATTACAAAACAATCCAAAGAGACATTCGCAGAGTTCAGCGGATGTAGTTTGGGCAGCCCTTTCTCAGACCGTTTTTTCTGAATTTCCTTTCTTTTCTGATTATTTGAAGGTTTTACATAGAAACAGATTTCTCTTCTCTTCATCTCTGTTTTAATCAGCATCTTGCCTGATGCTTCCAAAGGGTTACAGTGCTATTTCTGATTACACAGGTTGAAACTGCGGAAGTAATTGTGATTGTGGCTTCATTGAATGGATTGGACAAGAGGGAAGTGCTCACAGCTACAAGTGAATTGGCTCTAACTCGATCTTGGGACAAAAAAAAATTATGGCGGCAAGCAAAGTTGTTGTCCTGCAGTGCAATAAAACTGTGTTTCTGACTTTTAAAAAAATTGTCTCTTATTCAGAAGAATAAGTTGATTTATTTTTTAACCTTTTTGCAGAAATGTTGCAGCAGCTTCATCAGCAGCTAGTGGAGGCTGAGCACAGGAACATGACTTACCTCAAACGGTTTAATAAAATCCAGGTAGATTATCACAATCTCATCGGGGTCACTGCTGAGCTGGTGGATTCTCTCGAGGCCACAGTCAATGGCAAGATGGTAAGCGGAGTCCCAAGTGTGGACTTGCTTGGAATGGAAGTGCAAGTTATGATTTATAATAGCTGAGTGTTTCTGTAAATACAGCGTGCGTTTACTAGACAAACAGAATTCTTGGGGAGAGAGTCATCCTTGGTCCCTGCATGCTACTCAAGTAGTGTAAACGTGTCACACAGGGCTGGAATAGAAGTACCCTAGCTAAGAAACAGTAGAGGCTCATTGTTTCTGTGATGCTCTCCTCATAGGTGCTGGAAGGAGGTGTTTTCATAGCGCCTAGTGATATGGAGATTATGGACTGCGGCATAGCACAAAGCAGCCCTTGGGGAAGCTATTTAAATTAGAGGCACCTCCATGAGGCTTCATTTAATTTTTACCAGTCTCCCAGCTAATCCAAGATTTGGGTGGTGCAGCAGTGACTTCAGCACACCTTTGCCTCGGTCCCCCAGGCTCAACTTTGCGTGATGTTAATTTAGTTAAGAAAGAAAAATTGCTACGACGGAGGTGGGTTGTCTCAGTGCCGGGAGGCTCGGGTCTCTATCTGTGACTCGGGAATGCACAGCTCAACTCTGGGGCACTGCATTATAGAGATGTCTCAGAAAGTCTTTTTCTGTCCCCTGGCCTACGCCTAGGCTGAGGCCTGATCTGCACTACATAGTTAGGTTGAGATGAGGCAGCTTATGTTGATCGAGTTCTGTAAGCATCTGCATTACAGTGTTGCTCCCACCAATGAACTTGTGCACTGCAGAGACCTAATAACTCTGCCTCTGTGAGAGTAGCTCTCAGGATGAATTAGTGTCTGTTTAGTCACTGCGTCGTTGGTCTCACCTATTGACTGTCAGGCTTGCCTGGAGCTCATGGCTATCAGAGACCCGCACAGTTAAGTCAGTAGACGTACTCCTGGTGAGATTGGCACACCACCAAGAGAGGGGACATAGTGTGGACATGAACCACTGCAGCAATTACTGAAGTTGACAGACAGCCGTCGGACTTTGTTCTATTTACTGTAGTAGCACAGCCAAGGTCTCACTCTGTACTGGTTTTGTCTTCCAGTGGAACTTGGAACAGCCTGAAGGCTCTTCTTAATTATGCTGGCTACCAGTGGTTTCCCTGGGGCAATTGAGGCAGCCATGGATTGATGGGAGCAGGGAGAGCAGGGCTCTGTGCTGCTGAAGGATCCCCCTACACAAGAGTGAACGTCTGGTGGCTGGCGACTGAGTTTAGGGTTCTTTGCTGCTGCTGAAGCAGTGTTAAAGTGGGACCATGCAATAGGGATGTTAAATTTAGATTAATTGGCTAATTGAATAGTCAATGTAATTTGCATCGACTGATTAGTCAATAAGGGCGCCTCCAGGGCTGTTGCTACACTTCAAAGGCAAAGGCACGGCGGGGAGCACGGGGCCAGTAGGGAACTCAAGCAGTTCCCCGCTGGCCCTGTGCTCCCACGGTGTTTCAAAGTGGCAGTGCTGGATGGAGCCCACGGTTGGTAGGGGAGTCCGCAGCTGATCCTGGGCTCCACGTTGCGCTGCTGCTTTGAAACACCGTATGCAGCCTGGGGCTAGCTCGAGTCCCCTTCTTCGCTTATCCTACTCATTCCAGGAGGCATACCTGGGTGGTCAACAAATGCCTTTGATGTCGACACCCGCGCGTCCAGACTACCGCGCTGAGCCGGCAAGCAGCTGATCGGCTCAGCGCAGCAGCCATGTAAATTTAAATGAAGCGGTGATTATTTAAATCGCCGCTTCATTTTCCTATGCCTGGTAGCCTAATCTACATGCCTCTGGCGACAGAGGCATGTAGTCTAGACGTACCCTAAGAGCTGCCACACCATGATATGCCCTTCCTCACCTCCTCCTCCTCCCCCTTGTGCCCCCATTGTCCCTTTCAACCGCCTACCTGGGTCACCTCCTAATGACGTCACCCGCTAACCCAGGGGTTGAGAGTGTCCCGCTGCGCCCGGTGTCGTCTCGGCATGAAGTGCTCCACCGCCGCTGACCCCCGTACCGGTCAACTGGGCTGCGGCCTGAGAACAGTGTGTGCACGTAGCTCATGCCTCTCGGTTCGCCCCGAGGAGCGTGTGCGCAACAGTGAGTGGGGTGCGGTGTGGATCGGCCCCGTCTCACCATGGTAAACCTCCCTTGCTGCAATTTAAGCTCATTGCTTCTTGTCCTATCTTCAGCAGTTAAGGAGAATAATTTTTCTCCCTCCTCCTTGTAACACCTGTTTATATACTTGAAAGGTGCTATCCTGTTCCCTCTCGGCCAGAACAGGATGGGAAAGGTGTATTGCTCACGCTAGCTTTGAAAAAAATTAGGAGAAAAATGTCCAGTCACTTGCTGCTCCCATTCAATACTTTGGTGCGATCCCACAGGGTATACCTTGTGTTTTTATCTGGAGCTGTGTCAAGAGCACAAGGCTGAGGAGCTGTTGTTTTGGTTTTGCACTCAAAGGGGGTGTCTACACAGCAGCATTATTCCGGAATAACATAGTGTGCGTCGACACAGCAAGCCCGTTATTTGGAAACAAATTCCAAATAATGGGCTTCTTACTCCAACTTCTGTAAACTTGGTATGAGGAGTAGAGGAAGTCAGGGGAAGAGTGCTCTAGTTTGAAATAACTCCTGTGTGGACAGCGCCTAATGTTGAAATAAGGTATTTTGACTTAAGCTACACAATTAGTGTAGCTCAAGTTGTGCAGCTTATTTCAAGTTTAGCCCTGCTGTGTAGACATGCCCAAAGTTAAGTCCAGCACAGCATTCTGTCCTTCCCAAATGTGTCCAGGTGATGGCGGTCTTGAGTTGTGGACCAATGTGTCTGCTCTGGCTTTGACTTCAGGGTAGCTTTGAACATTGAATAGAATCATATTGGAAGTGCTTTAATTCCAAATGAAAGTACTGGAGTATTGGTGTGTCCCTTCCATCCCGTTGTAAAAAACCAAACCAGTAAGGGTGAGGGACAGTTATGGCCCCAAACTGGGCTATTTAAAATAATGTTGTTTTACACTATGAAGGCATCAGGAACCTTGTACTGCTGCTGTTAGGGGGTCCAAGAGAGATCACGCACTGGGGTTCCCTGGATAGGAAAGAGCAGGCGTTTCACCCACTGAAGAGCTTTCAGCTGCTTTGAGGCAGATAGATCCCATTCAGCAACCCCTTAGAGGGAATGAGGGGTGAACAGCCAAACTCTCAGATTTGCCAATATCCAGGAATCATATGGCCATTTCCCTGGGAGGCAGGGTGGCTGTTATTTTATTTTCCCCAAACTCTAAAGCCCACTGAAAACAACATTTCAATTGTATGAAATGAAGCACAAAATGTATTCATATATGATACGTGCTTACTCTCTCCCTCCCCTGGAATGCTACCTGTGTATGCTTTGAACTCTGCCATTCATTTAGGCTGGATTATACTGAGGTGTTGCCTACAATTACTCTCAGCAGTATTTCCACTTCATATTTATTCTTGGTCTAACTTCCCTTTTAACAAAGGAAAACCACACAGACTTTAATATGATGAATTCTATCTCCCTTATGAACTGATTGCCAAGGGCGATGTGCTATAGCAGTGGTCCCCAGCCATTAGAGGTTGCCAGGCGCCAGGGGGCGTGGCCGTTCGCCCACTGGGCGCCAGGGGGCGGGGACACTTGCATGCCCGGGGGCGGGGCCCCCCCATAGCCACGGGGC